ACACACACACACACACACACACACACACACACACACACACACACACACACACACACACACACACACACACACACACACACACACACACACACACACGACATTAATTAAATCAGCAGTTCCCGTTTCAATTAAGACATTAAAATGTGCCAAAAACTGGTTGACCCACAGAAGCAGAAGTAAAGAATGATTTCACTTTCTTTGTGTTCCTTCTCAACAACGTCAATAATATCTCATGAGTTATTTTGAAAACTTGATGAATTTGTCTTATTTCTTTCTGTCTGAGTTGTAATTGTTGGTTTCTCACACAGCTGAGATTGTGAATGAACGTCAGAGTAGTTCCTCTGTTTCCAAACATCTTTCTGATTCATGACTCGACCGCTTTTGTGACAGAAGACCATTTGTACAGAAAAACAACTGAAATTAAATTTGTTTCTCTCTCTCAGGGAAACAAAGGTGGAGTTTCTCTCCGTTTTTCTTTCTGATTTGACTTTCTGTGTGCTTCTTCTCAACAAAATCAAAAATATCTCATGAGTTATTTAGAAAACTTGATAATTTTGTCTTCTTTGTTTCTGTCTGAGTTGTAATTGTTGGTTTCTCACACAGCTGAAAAGGTGAATGAACAGCAGAGTAGTTCCTCTGTTTCTCACCTCTTTCTGTCTCTCTCTCCCTCAGGGTAATAAAGGTGGAGTTTCTGTCCGTCTTTCTTTCTACGGTCACATGCTCTGCTTCCTAAACTGCCACCTGGCCGCTCACATGAACTACGCCTCAGAGAGGGTGGATGAGTTCGAGTACATCATGGACAAACTGGCCTTCGACTGTGAAAATGCTCCAAAAATTGCGGACCACAAGTGAGTAGATAATAAAAACTCTGGTTTACTAAAAAATAATTATATCAGAAAAACTCAATTTATTCCCGCAGGTGGAATTTGTAACAGATGTTGCATTTCAGAATAAAAAATTATTCATACAAGTTCAAGTAAAAAATTGCAAAACAAATATATGATTAAGATATTTACATTAACATAAGTAGTACAAGTAAAAATGTGCACATTTCACTACAATATAAAACATTTCATTTACAGTAAATGTCTTTTTTTAATTATATCTACAGTTGTGTATTGCTAAAAATAAAAATTTGTAATCTGTAAATCCTGAAAAATCTGAATAACGCCTAATTTATAAGGTCATAATCGACAAAATGTATCAAACATATTAAAGACACTTGAGTATAAGGATCAAAACTTGCAAAATAAATTACAATTTTGCTTTTTCAATGTTTAAAATGATGTGTTAATTTTCTCACTTTTTTGATTATTTTTAAAATTCCTTCTTCTCCTTTCCCCTCGGCTCAGGCTGGTGTTCTGGTTTGGAGATCTGAACTTCAGGATTCAGGATCACGGCATGCACTTTGTACGCTCCTGCATCGAACAGCAGAACTACAGCCTGCTGTGGAGCAAAGACCAGGTTTGAGACTTAAATAGTCCATATCAGGTTCATATCAGTTTGTAGTGTCTCTACTTTAAAGAGTCCTCTCCTGCTGATGTTCAGGTGTATATCAGTATGTAGTGTCTCTACTTTAAAGAGTCCTCTCCTGCTGATGTTCAGGTGTATATCAGTATGTAGTGTCTCTACTTTAAAGAGTCCTCTCCTGCTGATGTTCAGGTGTATATCAGTATGTAGTGTCTCTACTTTAAAGAGTCCTCTCCTGCTGATGTTCAGGTGTATATCAGTATGTAGTGTCTCTACTTTAAAGAGTCCTCTCCTGCTGATGTTCAGGTGTATATCAGTATGTAGTGTCTCTACTTTAAAGAGTCCTCTCCTGCTGATGTTCAGGTGTATATCAGTATGTAGTGTCTCTACTTTAAAGAGTCCTCTCCTGCTGATTTTCAGGTGTATATCAGTATGTAGTGTCTCTACTTTAAAGAGTCCTCTCCTGCTGAGAAAAGTGTGTGTTGTGGTTCTCAGCTGACGATGATGAAGAAGAAGGAGCAGCTGCTGCAGGAGTTTGATGAAGGGCCTCTGGACTTTCAGCCCACCTACAAGTTTGACCTAAACTCCGACAATTATGACAGCAGGTAACTGTTCCAAATAACGTCTATGTCCTAATTAGTCCTAATCACACCTTTTTAAGTCAGTGCTTTTTATTTCCAGTAGCGGCCTCTACACCTGTTTTCTTACTTCTTATGTAGACATAAATAATTTAATTGAATATTATTGACTTAGTGCACATTTTTAACTTAACTTCTTAATTTTATTTAAATATTTGTATTATTTATTATCTTTTTATTGAATATTTTTACTATAATGTCTTGTGTCTATACATGTAGAGTGTTGCAGTGACGAGTCCTAAAACCAGGAAGTGAGTCAGCATTTCTCCACTTCCTGTTCCCTCGTCTCAGAGCCAATGGGATCTCTCCATAGGATTTTGGAAAGTATCTGAAATAAGGTCTGTGGTTGAGACACATTGAAGAGACGGGTCACGTTTTGTTCTACGACATTAAACCCATCAGCAGTGACCCCTCTGGTGATTTCTGAAGAGTTGACGTGTCTGAGAAACGATGGTTGTTACCAAGTGGCTGAATAGGACTACAGAAGTCGTGGAGGCCGTTGTACGTCATTACGCTGAACACGTAAACACTCCTCTAAGTTAGTTTCTGTTCTGCTTGAAAGCAAGTCCCTGCCTCCTGCAGACTGTTCAAACAAACGCTTCAACTCATAGCCTACCATTTAGAATCTGTGTGTTTGAATATGGATCTGAAGTTGGCGTGACGTTGAAGTCGTGCTGCTGGACTCGACTGTAGCTCCTTTATAGCATAACGTTAGCATTTTGCTTCTGGCCATTAGATTTGCTATTCGAAAATTATAAAAGTAGGGTAGACAATACTAGACATGTGGAGATTATCCAGCTGAACAAAGCGTGATCCGTCTCTTAAATGTGTTTCAGCCACAGACCTTATTTCCAGCTATTTTCCAAAGTCCTATGGAGAAATCCCGTTGCTTTTTTGTCGAGGGAACCGGCAGCTTCCTTCCGGGTTTTAGGACGGGATGGTTTTCCTTTCTTCCTGTTGCACATTTGTAATTACATTTCCTATTTATTCATCTATTTTAATTTATTTTTAATTTAATTTTATATACATATTTCTATTATTTCTTTAACTATATTTCAACTTATATTTTTCCTCCCAATTTTATCTTCCTCTTGCACATTTTTTATTTAATTTCTTATTTTTATACATATATTAAAACAATTTTTTTTGTTCAATTTAATCTTCTTTTTGCACAATTTTTTCATCCTCTTATTAAACACATGTTTTCCTATTTTATTGCATTTTCTATTTTATTTTCTTATTGCACATTTTTACCCTAATTCCTTGTTTTTATAAATATAATTTAATTCCTTTTTATTTTATTTACTTATTGCAAATGTGTACTTTCATTTATTTTACCTCCTGTATTATTTAATAATAATATTCTGATTGTGATTTAAACTCCACAGGCTCTACAGGAACTGGTTTGGCTTTAAGTAAGAGCTTGTTGTCCCTTACCTAAATGATATCACCCTGTTTTTAATCCCCCTAACTGCACATGTGCTACTTTTAACATCATGCTATTCCCCTTTTTACGTAGAGTAACTTCTAGTTAAAGGCTTCAGTAACGCACGGCACAATAAGCAAACAAAGCAGGTGCAACTAACAGTCTTTCTGAGACACATTTGGGAACGTCTACGCACGGAAAGACTGAACGCATGTTTATTTTCCAGGAAGTAGTCTGACCCCCATACAGTACATGTACATTTTTGGTGGCTAAATGCTATATCTGTTAAAGGCAACCTGTGGAGTTGTTATTTGTCCATATTAAGATACCATTATTTTAATTCAGAGTTTCTTACCATTTCTGGATATATAGAGCCGGGTTTTCATGTGAAGATACCATTATTTTTAATCATTCTTGCACAAAATGAGGACTTCGCAGAGATTCCCTTTCATAGCTTCATTATTTGATTTTAATCTACTGATACAGATGGTAGAGATGCACCGAGACACATGTACATTCAGGCTCTTATAGCTTGAAGACATGGATGTAAACAATGCTGATTTTATTATTAAGAATTGAAATTGTTTTATGAGCTTTTTTTTTTTTTTTAATACATTGATAGCACTACAGCTAATATCAGAGTTTTGTCTGCACCGCGAAAATCGTAAAATGTTAAAGTGATGCCAGAAAACAATATTTCTGTTTCTCAAAAACTGTATAATTCCTCCAGAAATATGACCAGTGAAACAGAGCGTCCGATGGCAGAGAAAGCTTTGTTTTTTACGGAGCTCCGACATCATGTTGTTGTTTACGTTGTTGTTGCAGCGCCATCTTGTATACGGGCGTCATGTTCTCGCCAGAATTGATATATCTTATAAACAAGCTCAGCACCACAGTATTACCTCATATTATATCTTTCTAGAAAAACCCCTGGATAGGAATAATATATCATTTGGATTTTGAAGTCAACCGTTATCATAGAAGATGCATTTTTACAAGGAACCATGAATGTAACTAACTCCACAGGGTGCTTTTAGATGTTAGCAGTCTGTATTAACCTGCATTTAACCTCTGAGCATGTTTTTTGTACAGTTAAAGCTCTGAGCTGCGGCTGCATAACAGCTAACATGCATGGCTAGAATACACATATAATTATAACACAAGAGATATGTCACTGTGGATGATTCAATATGTTTGTGTTGGATTGAATTGAATTACCCAAACATGGTACCACCGTTCCTGCAGGTTGCTGCCGGACTCACGACTGTTTTGGTGTTTCCTTTTTAATGCAATTCTGTTTAAAGCTGGTGTTTCTGCACAGATGCCAAACTAATATCATTAGTATTACACTAATTGTGTGGCTCGGTGAAAGTGGAGCCACAGGTCTCGCTTTTTAGAAAATATCCCACGTTTTTTCAGGCGGTTTTCCTGTAGTATGTTAGATCCTGTCGTATTTTTGACTTTTTATTTTAATCATCCGGAATATTTTATATTGTTTTGTTTATATTTGATATAATATTTTTCCTTTTATTTTTAATTGGTAATTCAGTTTTTTAAAAGTATTTTAAGATTTGTATTTTAATGTTGGAACTAGTGCTGCGTACCGGTACGCTGAACCGGTACTGGACTTGTAAAAAGTTTCTGTTCAAGTCCGGTTAAAACCGGAACGTCGGGAACCGGTACTTACGTATATTCTCCTTTTTGTTCTAAACCATCTAAAACCTTCCATAGATCGAGAAATTTGCGCTGAGAAAAGACGAAAAACATTGTTTTGGCTTCTGATATGGCGATCATTACTGAACTCACGAAGTCTCGGAAAATATCGCAACTGCTCGCGAGATCTGTGTGACGTCAAGGGAAGCTAGCTTAGACATAGTGGACACTGACAGCGTGGGATGCTGGTTGCCATATATGGTAGTGTAGCTTACTGACAGCATGGGATACTGGTTGCCATATATGGTAGTGTAGCTTACTGACAGCGTGGGATACTGGTTGCCATATATGGTAGTGTAGCTTACTGACAGCATGGGATACTGGTTGCCATATATGGTAGTGTAGCTTACTGACAGCGTGGGATACTGGTTGCCATATATGGTAGTGTAGCTTACTGACACCATATATGGTAGTGTAGCTTACTGACAGCGTGGGATACTGGTTGCCATATATGGTAGTGTAGCTTACTGACAGCATGGGATACTGGTTGCCATATATGGTAGTGTAGCG